TGTAATATATTTCTTTACAGAATTCAAACTCTGTTATATGCTTGTTAAAATAATTTACATATAATAAGTGGGAAGAGAAAAAAAAAATTGAAAATTAAATCTAATGCTAAATTCTAGTCAAGTAAATGCGGTGCATGGCCAGTTAGCTTGGATGGGAGTCGTTGGGGTGGGGGATGGGTAGTCGGGTCGAACGCACGCCTAGAGGTACTGGATGCGGCGAATGTTCTTGGCGAAGGCCGCCAGGGGATTCCTGCTCTCAGTGGCAGCTGCGAGCGCCGGCCGCTGCCTTAGACGCTGGCCCAGCAGCGGGAAGCGAGCATCGCCCATTTTGGGTATGTCGGTGCTGGGTAGTGCTGTGTCGGCTGTGCTCTTCGGCTGATCCGAGTCGAGGGGATCCATGACTAGCGACGCATCGTCCTCACCCTCGCGAATGGCCAGGGGGCCAGAGTCAGCGTCTGCTGTCAGCTGGCGCAGCATGCGCAGGTTGAGGGGCACATAGCCGACCGCATTGTTGCCGAGGCTGACGGGCACCAGGGGCACTGCACCGCCGAGAGCACTGAGGCGACTGAGGCCATTGTAGCCAGCGAAGACGTTCGCACTGCTGGCGCCGTTGCCGTACATCTGGGCGGAGCCGTGGTCGATCAGATTGTAGGGCAGAGCCAGGCCCGGCTGCTGGCCCTGACGCATCTCGAAGTACTGCACCGGCATCGACATCGACATCGGCATCGGCATCACCTGAGGAGTGCGCACGATTTCGCGGACCACATAGCGCGTGCCGCCTTCTGGGGGGGCTTCGGTGGGCGCGTTGTTGATATTGGTGTTGTTCACCCAAAACAGAGTCCCGTTCTTGTCCTCGAATTTGTGCCTTTTGAGGAAATGGAAGCGACGTGACTCGTCCGGCTGGCTGGGCGACTCCCTCTCCGCCACGGCGGGCACATTCACCAGCAACAGGTTCTGCCTCAGGGCCGGTGCCAGCTCCGCTAGGTCGGCATAGTCCGCCTCGGGCTGCTCCAGCTGCTTGCCATGCTGCTCCTCGGCATGGACGTTGGCAGCGAGCTGCTTGGCCTGCTGCTGCTGCTGCTTCTTCTGCTGCTGGAGCAGGGCAAGTGCTGCCCGCCGCAGATTGGGCCCGTCGAGCGGCGTCTCGATGTACACGTCGTTCGAGTCGAATGTGGTGTGCCACAGTGGCTCGCCACTGCGCTGCGCGGGTCCCATGCTCGTCGCGCTCGTCTGCACGCGCCGCTCCCTGCCCACGGAGGCCGCCCGGCCGCCATCGATGCCCAGCGAGCCGATCACGGCCAGCGCTAGCAGTAAATTCCTTATCCCCTGCACTCGCATCATCTTTTCTGCCTTTGTCCTTTTGCTCTTCTTCTCTTTGCTTGTGCTCTTGCCCAAGTTGCTCCGATGGGTCGCTGTGGTCTGTGGTGTCTGCCTGGCTAGAGGTCGTCCGCCCGGCTTATATAGTTGCTCCAGTTGGTTTCAGCTGGCCGTGGCTAATGAGCGCCATTTATTCGACAGTTATCGCCGACGCTTATCAGCGAGTCGAAGCGTTCTGGCTTTCATCGCGATAGCCAAGCGAGCCCATTAATTTTGCTTCGCGCAAGTTTTGCCTGATCTAAAGCCAGCAAAGAACTTGACGCTAATTGCGGCGAGGACCAGCCGCAGCTGAGTGCACGAAAGGCTGCAACGACCCATTGACAGATATACATAGAGAGAGAGAGAGAGAGAGAGAGAGAGAGAGAGAGAGAGAGAGAGAGAGAGAGAGAGAGAGAGAGAGAGAGAGAGAGAGAGAGAGAGAGGGGGGGAGAGCAAGTTACAGATAAATCCTTTGCTAATTGAGTTATGCATTCATCGTGCATTACTTTGGCAGCTCTTGTTAGCTCTGTTGTTTTTTGGTCCAAGTTGCTGGCGACTTCCGTTTGTTTAGCCATCTGCTCAAGACAAATATTATATATAAGTATATATGTAATATATCTATAGATCAGCTAGTTGCCTTCATAGTCCATTCGACAGTTTTCTTATGCCATTTTCATGCAAGAGCTAACGGATTGCTTTTAGATTGTGGGAGGGAGTGGGGGTGGTAGGGAGGCGTATGCTTACAACTGCATTACTATCACCACCTCTATAAATATATAGCTCTCGCTCTCTCTCTCTGTCTCTCTCTATTTCTGTCTATCTCGCTTCGTGTTTGTCTTGGCCCAATGTGTCAAAGTCAACTTGGTAAAAAGTTTGCTTTTTATTATTTCGTTGCCTTCATCGTCGGCGTCGTTGGCACTTTTTGAACTTGCCACTTGCCACTTGCCGCATGCCGCATGCCGTCGCTGCTGCTGCTGCTGCTTCTGCCCCGTCTTCATCTTCACGCTCCGCTTACCGAACGCGGACCGAGCGAAAATATTATAACATAGCATACTTTCCGGCGCTGGGCAAAATATGTACGAAAACAGCGCTCACCGAAATTGGGCAACGAGTGAACCGAAATAAGAAAAATATGATGGCAAAAGCATCGACGGGATAAGCGCAACTAGTAGATACTCTGTGGCAGGCGAAAGTCTCCCAGAGCTCTTCCAGTTGGGAATCTTTGGCATTGAGATCACAGAGGCAAACGACCCGACTAGCGGATACCCGGCCATGAAGGAAACTGATATAGATGCCTATGATTGAGCGAGAATTGCTTAAACTACGGCTTATATATTTAAGGACTGGTAAGAAATAAGATATTAGCTGGAATTGACACGACTAGCAGATACCCGGAAATTGATATGAATGATTGAGTTGTTCAATTAGAGAATCGCTAAAGGTTTACGGCTTATATATTCTACATATTGCATGATATTATATATTAAATATCTATATAACTAAAAAATGGTAAGAAATAAGATATTAGCTGGAATTGACACGACTAGCAGATACCCGGCCATAAAGGAAATGGATATGAGTTGAACAATTAGAGAAATGCTTAAGGTTTACAGCTTAAAGATTATTTTTAAGGAACTATAATATATAATAATATATGATATTAAATACATAAGCTGGAATTGACACGACTAGCAGATACCCGACAAAAATGAACGTAATATGAACTAAAATGCTTCAGCTCTTCAAATCAGCTATATCCTTGCCTTAGACTTAATTTACAAATAGAAATGAAATAAAGCATAAATGATAATCGACTAGACTAGCAGATACCCTGCAACAATACTTGAGCAAATCAGCTCTTGAATACTTTGCTTAAGCAATTTCATTTATAGAGTGAAAAGAAATAAGAAGAAAGGAAATAGATAAATAGATAAAAGGTTCAGGCTGCTGTTTTAAAACTTTAAAATTCCTCAATTAACTCCAAGCCATGTACGCAATTCATGATTATCTTTGTTCATATTCAGAATATTTAATCTTAAGTTTCCACAATCCACACTAGATATGCGAGACTCCCACAGCTCAAGCTACTATAACATCTGGCAAACCCTATGCAGCATCTGCAGCAGCCCGCTATAAATATTGAAAAAAACAAAAAACTCTATCCGTATGTTGGATAGGTCTGAGTCGTCTTGGAGTTGGGCGCGTTATGAACGTGTTTTTCCGGGCGGGTTGAGCGAGGGGCGGAGGGATGAAAAAAATACTATGCTATAATACGATTTTAGCAATGGCGTCGACTGCACTTACAAGCCGCTGCCCGCCACCAAGTTTGATATAGCGTGAGCCATGCCCACCGCGCACCGCCCACCGCCCACCGCCTGCCGCCCACCCAGGCACATTTGGAAAGCTCTTGTACTTTGCGCACTTTGCGCTCGCGTTTCTTTTCACTTCTCAAACAGTTTTTTGTCGCAATAAAAATTTAAGTCGATTTTATGGGCACAAAAAGCAAGTGGAAAGCCCGAGTCTACGTCTTGAGTTGCCAGCTCTGAGCTCGCGAGCTCTGAGTTCTGAGTCCTGAGTCCTCAGTCCTCAGTCCACGGTCTACAGTCCTCAGTCCTCCGCTGTCCTCGGCTCTGTGTCTGTGCAGACTTGAATCGTGGCATCAACTCTCGAATGCAAAGTAAAGGCCAAAATTACAGTTCTCGGGCAAAAAGTTTCATTTCTCTGGCGATTTTGTTGTCTCAACTTTGCATTCATATGCAAGCGAGGGCGGGATGGAGCAGCGGCCGCAGGCGGTATGGGGTCGTCAAAAATTGGAAGGTTTATTTAAATTTCAACTTGTTTCGAAAACGTTTAAAAAGTTTCCGCTACTAACTGACTGCTGATAACACAAAGTATCCCCAGCCCAATGCCGCAATCACTCCCTCCCCCCCCCACACCTCACCCCCTGCCAGCAACCGACCCCCAGCCCAAACGGCAAGTTGAAACAGTTGGCAAAGTTGATTCGACTTGTCCTCAGCCCGCGTCGAAGAGGCTGAGCGAGGGGCGTGACAAAATTAGCACAGCATATAAATAGAAATATATAGAGATAAATATATATTTTATTTACTTATGTCATATTTATTTTCGCATTTATTGCCGACTTTAAGCCGAGCCCCAAATAGCATTCAGGCACATTAAATATAGAGCACAATATATGAAATTGACGAACTGGTGCGAGGCCAGACGCTGCTTGCCCCACAATGTGGGTCACAAATGCCAAATGTCTGGGCTGTCATTTGATATTGGGTCGGAGCAGGAGGAAGATAGACGTAGACAAAGATGGAAATAGAGATGAAGGTGATGAAGATGAAGATGAATACAGATATAGGGCTAAATATAGATACAGATACAGATACAGATACAGATACAGATACAGATACAGATACAGATACAGATACAGATACAGATACAGATACAGATACAGATACAGATACAGATGCAGATGCTGATATATCCATTAGTGATAATAATACATTATGCAATGACTGGTCTGAGTCTAAGCCAAGTCTGCCCCGCATTTAGTCCGCCTGGGTTGAGGCTGCTCTCGCCACTCGGCTCAGCCTCGTCTGGCTGCGGCAGCATCTCAAACGAAGTGAGTTGCAACTAATTTCAGTTTAATTTGTGTCAGTTTTTGCCTTAGCAGCGCTTTTCTTTTCACGCCGTCGTCATCGTCGTCGTCGTCGTCGTCGTCGTTACTTATTATCCTTTGGCTTCCCTTCGGCTTCAGCGTGCGACGTGTAAATGCTGCTAATGACGTCGTCGTCAAGACACAAAAGGCTCAATGCGCCAAGCTCATCGCTCAGTGCTCGCTGCTCGGTCGTGGGTGCTCGTCGCTCGTCGCTCGGTGCTCCATGTGGCTCATCCGTCTGTCTACCTGTCTGTCTCTCCGTCCGTCCGTCCGTCTGTCTGTCTGTCTGTCTGGCAGCGTCTTTAATGACTTCCTACTTTAATTTAGCGAATTTATTATTTTAATTTGCGCGCTTTACGTTTTTCGCGGCAAATTCGCTGAGCGAATTTTCGTTTCGATTTCGATTTCATAATTAGGGACCAGGCCTTAGTCGTTTTTAGACGGTTGCCCCTGGCAAGCGCTGGCGGTCCTTAAGCCAAAAACCGCTTCAAATTCACCACCCCAAATAACCTGCCCTGCCCCCATCCCCCCTCCCCCTGGCCACTGGCTCCTGGCCCTGCCCATGGCCTGCCTACGCTCCATCCATTCATCAGGAACATAAACCGCCAGCGTCCATGATGTTAATGCGCTTATTTTCATGTTAATTACCAGCAGACAAGCCTCGGCCTCGCCGGGGCCATAGTTTGGGCAGTCAAGTCAGGCCGTGGGACTCTCGACTCTCGACTATAGCATAACAATGGGCGATGCTGAGGACCGCCCGCGGCCAGTAGATGGCGCCAGCACTTCAGTTGGGCTGCGGGCCAAAGCTCGAGCCGGTGCTCAGATTTTTGGCAGGCGATTTAAATAATTGACAGATTTTCGCATTTCACTGAGCGCCGTCGGCCATCTTAGCTGGCATATCGGCAGGGGGTCAATGGGTTCCTTAAACCGCTTCATATCGTTTCTAGCTCTGTCTACCTCCCTCCCTCTCTCTCTCTCTCTCGCTCTCTCTCTCTCTCTCTTTCTGTCTGTCTGCCTGTCTCTAGCTATCTTCATGTGCATTTGAAAATTCATCTTCCACTTTAACTTGTGCTCCATTTTGTTCGTCTCCGCAATAAACTGTTTTATCTTTATGAGATTATATCTTCAGTTTCACCCACACAATTTTGCCCTCTCTCTCTCTCTCTATCTCTCTCTGTCTGTCTCCCTTTCGCTTCCCAGCTATCTAATGTCTGTGCGTGTGCCAGACAAACTCTTTGCCCAAAGGATTTTTGTTTGACAAAGTTAAATGCACGATGTGCCCAGGCACGCAGCTACCGGCCTCCCTCTCGCCTCTCGCCTCTCGCTGCGCCCCCTGCTCGTTATTCTCTTTTACATTGCTTTGTTCCTGTTCCTGTTCGTGTTCCCATTCCCATTTTCATCCTTGCTCACCTGCTCTGTTCAATATTAGTTTATTGGCCAGTCGAGCTGTTCCCAGCATTTAAGCCGACAGCAGTTCAAGGTTATTGATACACCTCATAGCTGTGGGCTATGGGCTCACTCTACCGCAGTCGCTGTAAATCGCCAGGCTATAAATTGTGAAATTTTGCAACTCAGTTGGATGAAAGCGAAAGCATTACACTTACCTGCCATATAAAGGACTTAACTAACGGTATAAAAAGCAAAGCTGTGGTGCTCTGATTTAAGAGTTATTTTCTCTCATTTGAACTAGCCCAGTTAGAGTCATAGATGAAGCAGCTGATGATAAGAGCTTTATGTTGCAGCTACGTGCATGTGATTATATATGGTATATGTACGTACATACATATTCGGTATAGCACATCATTCAATATATCAGCATATGCTCAGTAGATGTAGATGTTGGCCCAATACTGAAGCTTTTTGGATTCTCATAGCTCATTGATATTCCTGTGGATGTTGGCTTCGGTTTGAACCATGAGCTGTACTTTTTTCAAGATTAAATTCAACACTTTTTAATGCATTCCATTTGTTTGGCAAATTTAAGCAACATTTCTGGAATTTCGTATTCGATATTTTATGTACTTAGCGTCATCGATAGCTTGAGTAAAGCTATCGCATAAAAGTTGTCGAAGGGCCAAATATAGAGATGCACTAGGCTAGATGCTGAGCGTAAAGTAAGATATGTATCTGATTATATACATAGATATATACTCTATATCCCATGCAGTTTAACTATTCCTAGCAAAGTCTCTAGCTATCTGCACTTSAATAAACAGAGTCAGAGTCAGAGTCGGCAGCCAGTCTGTAGCCCTTCTTTAATGTCCGCCATATTCTTTGAGCCTGCAGTGCAATGCACTCGCTAAACACTTCCTGATAAACCTATAAATACCCCTTAGTCACTTTCATAAACATTCATAATCACTGTCTGTGCTGAACTATGCATGTCTGGCAACGCCCACGGACTGTCTGGCAGCTCTGGCAGCTGATTTAACCATAAATGGCAACGGCATTCGAATTTGTTTATGCATTTTACGACCCAAACGTCAGCTTCATGTCGGCATTACCACCTTTGAGTGGCTGCCGCTGCAGTTGGGCGAACGATAAAAACCACACACACACAGAGGGAGAGAGGGAAACACACACACACACATATGTGCAGGCGCTGACAATGAGCTCCCAGCGCCAGCGTGCAAAAACAATGAGGTGATAAACTTGAAGGCTCAACGCACAACAGCTTCGGTCCAAGACAGCGACGTCGACAGCGACGCGACAGCGACGTCAACCTCAACGTCAACGTCAACGTGCCGCACATTTAGATGGCACCTTGGAGAGGAGGCGCAGCCCAGAAGTGCAGCAGCAGCCCCGTTCCCAGCCGAGATCGGGCCGGGTCTGACATGACAGGGTTATGCCAGGGATCTTACACGGCTGCCAGGAGTCTGGGCCGACGGGGGGTGGGGGTGTTTAGGTCTTGGGGTTGTTGCTATTGTGGGCATTCGTGTGCATGCGAAGAACAAAGCAAAATCAGCAGGCGACTTGCTTTTATGGCTTGTCTTGCTGCTGTAGCTGCTTTGCCAAGTTTTCATCCAGCCCCCTCCAGACACACATGTGTGTGTATGTGTGTGCGTGTGTGTGTGAGTGTGCAAGTATTTCTTGTTCTGCTCTTTAACGTTTTTCAAAACGAAGAAAGTTGGTTGACTTTTGAATGACTTTCTGGCGCTCGTCGCGTTGGGGGCAGGACTGACTCTAGTCACTGTTGCTACTCCTGCTCCTGCTTCTGCTGCTGCTGCTGCTGTTGTTGTCGATGTTGCATTTGTTTTATGTGTTAAGTGCGCTGTGCCCGAGCGCACAGAATGCATCTGCTTTGCGTTGCTTGTAACTGACGCTGATGCTGCTCCTGCTGCTCCTGCTCCTGCCCCTGCTGCTGCTGCTGCTGCTGCTGCCACAGAGCCCGCAATCCGCAGTCCGCAATCAACAACTTGCAGCTCGCACAGCGCACGCAACACGCCGCGGCCCGCCCGCCGCACGCCTCATGCTGCATGCCACACGCAATGCGCAGCAGCTCGAGTCGAGCTTGGCTAAATCTAGTTGCAATTAATGTAGCAAGCGTTTCGTTTCGATTGACATTTGTTGATAATTCAAGCAATTATTAGAAATTGAAATATGCATGAAATTGCGAGCAGCAGCAGGAGCAGGAATAAATACATATATGCTGAATTAGCAGCGCTGCCGAAAAGTATGCGATGGAATAGTTATCCCACAATAGTTAATTGATGTCAATCAATATTCATGCAAATTCCAAGCAACGCAAATTGAATTTGAAATCATTTCCATTCACGCAACTCACAAAACAAAACAAAACAGTTTGAGGAAAGAAATGTTGAGGAAATTCTGCATGTTTGTCGGGCGCTTAAGCTGCTTAACGCTTCAAGCTAACTATTTATTTAGCTTGTAAGGCTAAATGCGTTTAATTGAAGAACTTAAGTGATAGGCATTTAATTGATTACAATTGGCTTGAACAATTAGAAGGCTGCAGCCTTGTTAATTTGCTTAAGCGATTAAGTCAAGGAGGGCTCAGAACACTGTGCGAATTATGAGCACTGTGAAAACTACTCTCTAACGTAAGGAAAGCTTATTAAAATTTGAAGCTAAGCAGGAGATTAGGCAAAGGATTACGAATCAAGTGTCTCAAGGTTTCCCAAATCTATGCAAACTATATTTAAATATTGTAGCCAAGAAAGCTATACTCACGCCCATTAAAATGAGAGAGGGCTCAGCAAGATCAAATATCCTCATATATTTAAAGTTAACAACAACGAAAAGTTTCTGAAAAATATTGTTAAAGCTCATTCAAGCTTCAAGACAAAAGTGAGGATTGGAGGAAAAATTAAAAAAAAAATGTATATAAAGCTTCTGGAAGCTTTGGACGTTTAGCTAAAGTCATGATGGTACTATGATAATTCAGTTGCTCAATGAATGAGCAAAGTGCGTTTAAGCTAAATATTAAGTTCTTCTTTAAGCTTCAAGTCCAAAGTGAAAGCTTATCGCACGTTATAAATCTCACGAGTAAAAGAATATATTTGCTTTGAGTACGAATAAGATTAAGAGAGATTAGAGGAGAGGTTAACTAAAATTTATGTTAATAGAAAAGAAAAGCGAAGCCTTAGAAAGAACTCAAAGCTCATTAAAACTTTCATTCATTTGATTGACAAGTGCGAGCGTTTAATACCGAATAATATATGTATACTTTGAGTACAAGAATATTAAGTTGAAGCTAGTAGATATATAAATCTTTCTTTAAAGAAGAATACTCGCAGCTCGTAGGCTCTGAAGCTTAAGTTTATAGTATAAGATGAGAGCCATAGGCGCTGGATTAAAGAGCTCTAAGAATAAAGCTAATATTTGGTAGTGAAAAATCGTAAAAATAATAATAAATAAAGCTCATAATAAGCTCAATTCGTTACAGTTTTAAGAAATATTTAAGCCATAAATGTCCTCATAATTTGCTTTAAGCTGGATTTTTTTTTATTTTTAAGTATACTAGAAACTCTTTAGAACTGAAGCTTATAGTTTAGTTTAGATGAGAGAGATGAGATGAGATGAGATGAGATGAGATGAGATGAGATGAGATGAGATGAGATGAGATGAGATGAGAGACGCATGCGACATTTGAGCTAATGAATATTAACAGTAAAGCCAGTGTGACTATACAGGTAAGCCTCTGCTCTCAATAATTTACAGTTTTTATGAAGCTTTGAGTCATAGAAGTACCTTCAAATGCTTTAAGCTCAACTGTTTTCAGAGTCGAGTAGGGATGACTAGGAAACATTCTTTCTTAAGAGGAATACTTGAAGATCGCAATAGCACAAGCTTAAGCATATAGTGTAAGATCAGACCAAAGCAAGAATATAGCCAATATGACCAATATATGATATGATGCACGCAAGCAAAGCACCTACTATCAATTTGCTACAGCTTTAAAAAAGCTTTCAGTCATAGCATCATCATTTGCTTGAAGCTCAGCCGTGTGGAGCAAGGATTCAGTTTGCTGCAGCTCTGATTGGAAATCGGATTAAAATTCTGATTGGACACAGCGTTTCGGGCTTTCGATTAACATTTTATTCGTATTTCGTCACTGATACAGAGCCTAATCAGCAGCTGCGGGCCATAGCTGCGGCCAGTGGGCGGTGCCTAAGCCTCGTCGTAGTCGCGGATGATTTGCCTCTGCTGCTGGCGGCGGCGCTGTGGCTGCTGGCGACGACGGCGCTGCTGCTGCTGCTGCTGTATGCGACGGCGCTGCATCTGGCGACGACGCTGCTGCTTCAGCTTCTGCTGCCTGTTGGCAGCCGGCCGGCGCTGACCGTTGCCGCGGCGCTGCTGGTTGGGGCGACGGCGACGCACCTGCTGGCCGCGACGATTGCCGTTACGATTGGCGTTGCCGTTGCGGTTGCGTCGACGAACAAGTCGCACGGCATTGCTGCCCTGGCGACGTCGGATCTGCTGCTGCTGCTGCTTCTGAGGTCGGCGCCGACGGCGACGCTGCTGCATGTTCTGCTGGCGCGGCACATTGGAGCCGTCGCCCGCCAGCGGCTGGGCCGCTGCCTGCTGGCTGTCGTCCTCATCGGCGGCCAACGGGCCCTCGGTGGACGACTGCGACTGCTGCTGCTCGGATGGGCCATTCAGGGGCTGCACCTCGCCCACCTTCACTTTGGTCACTTGATCGCAGGGCACATCGCTGTAGATGACCACATTGCCGTAGTTGCAAACGATTTGCGGCTCGTCGGCGTCGTCCGCCTGGCGGGGCTCGATGCGGCCCAGGCCGCGCTTGTCCTCGATCTCGTAGATGTCGCCCGACTTGGTGATGAAGCCCGTCACCTGCAACGGCTTTGCCTCCTGCACCTGCAGCGACGACTTCAGCTGCTGCGGCTGCGACTGCGACTGCGACTGCGATTGCGACTGCATCGCCTGGGCCGACTCTTGCTCCTTCTCCGGCTGGGCTGTCTCCACGCTGACCGGCACCAGATGCTTCTGCTTCATGGGTGGCGCATTGATGATCATCAGCGGCTTGGTGGGCTTTGACTCTGCCTTGGGTGCGCTCGTCGGCTTCACCGTGGAGCTCAGCAGCGGCGCTTGAGTCGGACGCAGCTCATCGCGGGCTGCGATCAGCGGGAGAGAGAGAGCGAGAGAGAAAGAGTGAAGGAGACAGAGGGTTGTGGATTGTCAGTTTGCTTTTGGTTGCTCGCAGCGTGGGGGGATCAAAAAAATTTACCGCTCACCAGTGAATGGCCACTGGCTATGGCCAGGACCAGGACGAGCAGCGATTGAAACGATAGTATTGCCCACTTCATGGCTTGATTTGTGCACGGCAACTGAATCGGGAGTCGCCGCGAGCTGCCGCTTATATCAACTTCCAGCGATCGCCGATCGGTGCATAAATCATTGGCTAACGGCACATTTTGCCAGCCTCTTGGGCACTTTGGGGTCGTCTTGAGGCTGTGCATAATTAGCCGCAGTTTGGGGCCGTCTGGGCCCTCAGAGTTCAAAGCACGACGAATGCCGCGTCGACCCATTTACCGCAACTTTCGGCGACTCTGGGCCAGCATCTATGGCTTTCTATCGGCCACGTTCTGATGAGAGTTCAATGCCTGAACTTTGGCTTCATTATCATGTTTGCCTATTTACCAATTTTCGTTTGTTTTGCCTTTTGTTCAACTCGTTTGCGATCTGATTGGAGTATATTAGCTTGGTGTACTTTTCACCTGGAACTCTGTCCGTGTCTACAGCTGTCATCTATCCGTTAATATGTTCGTCCACCTCCATCTACCCCAGTTTGGTTGAAGATGTGTTGCTCCCTTGAGTATCATGCAGTCGGTAACAGCCGTTCCGCATTTTACATTTTTACACGTTCTGCGCGCTGCTTATTCAAATTCAGCATTGGGGTCGATCGACAAGAAGAAGCATAGAATCATATATTATATATAGACGCAGCTCTCGGGCTCCCGTCGTCGGGCTCCGATAGCTAATTTAACAAACGAGCCGGGACCGTGAAATGTTTGCATTCACCATATCCACAAATGATGGAATCTAATAAGCTAAAGATGAACGGACTACGGATTGTATATATACATATGTATTTATTTACATACATATGTATATAGCATTTGTCCGAGACGCAAATCAAACCGTTTTCGGTTAGCCAGAAACTCATGCAGCGAAGTGGGGAACAAAAAAAAAAAATAACAAAAAAAAAAAAAAACATTTAATAAGAAATTTATCAATAATTTCAGAGCTCATTTGAATAATTAAAAGACAGAAAAAAAATAAATTGTTTAATTTTATTTAATATATTTTTTTTA